CCACGTGTCCAAAACTCGCTAAATACTTGATATTTGAGGGGATTCTCAATAGAAGGCGGCTCCACGGTTTTATTTGCTGAAATATTTATATATTTTTTTTAATTGGCGCATTACGAAAATAAGAAAGTATTGAAAGTATGGGCTTGTTCGAGCTGCAATCACAACCGCAGGGTTGCGCGAATTCCCAGCAATGTATTATCAGTTGGGCATTTGCAACAACGTTGCCATTTTTCATCGGACGGCAGTAATACCGCTTTTATTACGTGCCTCGCACAGGCCCCATGTATGTACTTACCATGTGGCTGTGGATGAGCGCAAGCAATTTCCAGTTGCGCATTTCTGCGATCAAAAACGAAATTATCGGCTATTTCTTGTAGTATCTGCGCAGCATCTAGTTTAATATCTGTAAAGAAAATGAACTACGAGTAGGATATTATTTTTGAAATGATTTTAAAATTTTGTTACCAGCTTCCGCTACTCCTTCTCTTAATAGCTTTTTTCGCTTCCCAGCCAGTACATTGCTTATGTTGCGTTCCGTCTCTCGCAACTTTAGAGCTTTTAATGTCTCCGCCTGTGCAGTGAAGCCTGCTTCCAACTGCTCATGATACTGAACAAGCTCGCTAGCTTCTGGTACCCGCAGTAAAGATTCTTGCTTGGAAACTAGTTGAGCAATGCCTCGCTCCACCAGAAAGCGTGTCTCGTGCGGCGTTAGCTCCAGTGGTAAAGCTAAGGAAGGAGCTTAACTGTATCTGTATTTATCTCAAATTTCTCCAACTTACTGCAATCATTCGCCGACCAGCCTCGGATGCTGCACGTGCCCACCAGCGCGCCCACAACACGGTGCTTCCGTCGCAATGTAATGTAGTCTGTTAAGGATAAATATGAATCTGTTAGCAATCCTAGCTACGATATATAATTTACCGTTCACGTTAAAAACATATCCAGTGCCATTTAAAAGCGTTAAAGTTATTTTTTCATCAGTTTCGCTTGTTGCAGTCATTGTTTACGAATAGAATAAAAGGAAAATTTTCAACAAAAAATAAGGCGACATCTGTCCGACGTGTTTCATGCAACTTGGTCAACTGTTGGTGAACTTTCCCAAATCGGCACAGGTGCTTACAAAAGTAAAGAGATATTAAAGCAGAGAACGTCTATGAATGAGAAGGCGCATTTCCAGTGGACCG